TTATAATACAATTGAACAAAACAGTAAAGAACAAAACTGACAAAACCAAACCATTGGAGACATTGTAGGTCTTCAAAAGTAGATAAAAGTCAAGGAGAATGGGCGTTACAATGAATCTCATTATCTTCACAGCTGATGACCAAACTTTCGAACCTGATACTATCCAGCAAAACAGAATAGGGGAACATCAGTCAAAAACAAGATGGTGACAGTAATACAGGGCTTCAAATCGAGATAATAGAAAGTCAAAGTGGGTTACTATAATATATCCTGCTATTTTTTTTCCCTTTAATTAAACGGATAAAAATAAAAAAGTAAATAATGGAGTGGAGATTGGGATAAAAGAGGGCATAACAGCGAAACAGCGCAGATCAAAACATAACCATTTAAGCAGAATAGTGTTCCACCACCAGATAATTCTGACCCAAACGTAGTTACCATATTGACTCTTTCCTTGAAGTCCTTGAGTACAAGTTCGTATACTGCAGCATTACGTATATCAAAACAATGTAAAACCATTTAAGAGAATGACAGCATTACAGAGTATTTAGAATCCACTAACAGAAAATGAACAATGGTTTCTGTATAATCTCCTTGTCTTTAAAAGGTTTTTGCTTATACTATCGTACATAATAAATTCCAATAAGATACAACCTATTTAGACCATTGGAGACAGAAGAACAAAAGCTAGATGAGACTACAAAACAAGATGATACTAAATCAGTATTACCTATTAAGATGTCATTTTCTCCAAAATAGCTGTTCCTATCATCCAATCTTCTCTGTCTCATTTCTGTTGAGCTCTTTTTGTCAGTAGCTGTCATTTTGTCTTCTTCATTTTGTTCTTTGCTCCATTCGTTGTGGCCTCCCCGCCACTATTTCTGGGTTCTTTGTATTTTTCTTTTTTTAGAATATCCTGCAATACTTTCTGTAGAGTTGAATTGGTGGTTGCAAATTCCCCCAGTTCCTCTTTATCCTGGAAGCACCTTGTTTTTCCATCAATTTCCAGGGACAGTTGTGCAGGATATCTCAATCTTGGCTGGAGATTATTATCTTTCAAAGCTTGAATTATTTCCCCCCACGCTCTTCGTGATTTGATGGTTTGTACAGAGAAATCTGCTGTAATTCTGATGGGTGTTCCCTTGTAAGTGGTCTGTTTCTTGTCTCTTACAGCTTTTAATATTCTGTTCTTGTATTGAATTTCTGGAATTTTTATTATTATATGCCTGGGTGTTGCCCTGTTTGGGTTGTAGGTAGCTGGGGTCCCATATGCCTCATACATCTGAGTATCTTTACCTTTTGCTAAATTAGGAAAATTCTCCTGGATTATTTCTGTGAGTAGCTTTTGTAGTTCACTTGTTTGTGTCCCTACTTCTTCTTTTATGTTCTTAATCCTTAAGTTATGGCTCCTCTTATCATCTTCTTGTCTTTGTATTATTGCTGTTTGTTTCTTTGTTATTTTTAAGAAGCTTTTCATTTCATTCTCCCATATTACAAGTCTGCCCTCCAGTTCAGATAGTCTATCCTTAGTTTCTTTCAAGCTGTTATGCCAGTCTTGGATAGACTTCTTAGTTTCTTGATAGTCCCTTTGAACCTGCTTCATGTACTCTATGCTTTCTCTGTTTTCTCCACCAAACAATTCTCCCCTCTTTTTCTGTTCTTCCATTCCACCATCTGTTTTTTCCTGGGTGGTGCTTAGCATTTCTCTAACTATTTTGCATACTTCTGGCTTCAGGTCGTTGATAACTTCATTCCTGAATTGGTCTATGAGGCTCTCTATGGCGCTTTATGTCTATTGGTGCAGTGTCCGCTATTGCCTGTTTCTCAGAACTGGGGGCCGAGGAGCCTTTCTTGTTGCTGCCTTTTACCATATTCTCTGTTCCTTATATATGCAAGCTTATATAAGAGGCCCAGCTTCTCTCCCAGTCAGCCACAGCCTGATCGAATTGCGCCAGCTAGGTGTTCCCGCTCACCGCTGCGCACCAGGGAGTTATGGACCAGGCAGCCTACGCGTCTCCCCTCCCGGCCACCGTCAGGCTCTGGGATCTGGGTTGGGCCAGCCTACTGAGTCCGCCAGCAGCGTCACGCAGGCCAGGCACTTTTCACCAATCCCGCCCGAGAGGGGGATGTGTGGCTGGAGTCGCCACCGCGCCCTGCTCCCGCAGGACTGCCCGAGCCCAGAAAGTCCTCCGCTGGAGTCAAACTGTGGTAGAGTGTCAGTTTCTCTCACTCACCTCACCACAAGTCAGTGCACGCCTCCCTGCCCGTCCTGTTTTTGACTCCGTTCGCAGACTCCCGTTCTCAGAGCTTCTGCGCGCCTCTCTCCTTGCCGAGCCGCTGTAGAGGCAGCCAGCCGCGGGGCGGCGGGAAACCCAAATCGTGGCTTCCAATGGCGCAGGGTCTAGCCTCCACACCGAGGCTTTCCTGTTCCTGTTTTAGCACCAGGACTGCATTCCAAGTTGGTTTCTCTCAGCCCAGTTTGTTCCTGAGTCAGCAGAGCATATCTCTACCAGCTTATGTCTCCTTAGTCCGCACCATTCCTGACTTCTGAACCAAGCCTTTCAGAGAGCCTCCGTAGTATCTGCTATCTGTTCGCCATGTTCTCCCGGAAGTAGTACAAAGGTTTCTATATGCCTGTGATGACTGGCTGCTATTAACCTCATTGTGCATCAAATGTATTCATTCCTGCAGATGCACAGGTCTTCCAAAATGTAATACTGGTACTGTCTATGGTGATAAAGACTTTTCTTTCAGATTCAGACCTCTTCCTTTAACAAACACTCATGATGTACATCCCGCTAAAGGTCAAAAAGTTAGGTAAAAGCTTCTTATGTATACTAGGAATGACTGATGAGTATTTTATGGTAAACAGAAATTCAGTTATATTATAAAATGTCACTGTGATTGTCATACTTATGTTGTACATGGTTTTGATTTCTAGTTTTCTGTGTAAAATATGTAACTTAACATTCTATAAGTACTCAAATGTTAAAATATCCATCGATGGTAGAAAATAACAGGTCCATGTTATGTTCTAAGGTGCTTAATATTTAGATAATAATGTTAGACTTATCGCCTCTACTACAATCTACTGTTATCAATCTTTTCTTCTGGATATTCAAAAACTAGAAAGACAAAAGGGGCTAAGAGGACAGCCAATATTTCGGCCCCAGTTCTCAGAGGTCAGTGAGGACCAGGACACAAGAGACATCCCATACCTCAGTGAGTCCCTGGTCTTATGACCAAGGAGACTGAAATTACAAAGGAAAGAGATCAATGATATATAGTGTGCCTAAGGAAAGTCACCAAGAGAAAAAAAATCTCCCACACTTTCATAGAAAGCAACTTGGTTAAGCAATGGCCACGACTCACCAATACGGCTGACACTGACAGAAGTGCTAAGAGATGCTGTGCATGGTTCCAAGGTAATCCCTGAGGAGACTTAAGTGACCTTGATATATAGCAAGAGATTAACTGTAATTAATACAGGTCTCACTTTAACTTGGTCTTGGGCATCCAATATTGTTTTACAAAATATGTGAAACAACGCTATAGTAATATGTTAGTTACAAAAAAAAAAAAAACTCAAATCACTAACACCTTCTGAGAATTGCCAGTTGCACTGGTAACTGACTACTTTCACAGATTAATGGACCGTACAGAGTTAAATTACTGAATGAACTTAAATTCTTAGACTGAAAAACTTTAGCATAAACAAGTTCATTTAAAATGAAAGGGGTTCAAGAATGAAAAGGCCTGCTACAGAGTTCTGCAAACACAGCTCCTCCAACTTCAACTGACCACCCATTGCTTGCAACCACAAAACAGAAAAGGTGCAGATGTAGAGAGCAGCTGAAGCTGATCGATCAGCAAGGCCAGCCCTGAGAACACAGACAGCCCAAGGCAAGCCAAAGTAAGCAAGCTACATAAACAAGTTCTTGTAACCTGGAGAAGGCAAAGGGCCCCAGTCAGCTAGGCAAACAAGTCGCTAGGCAGAGGAGTTGAAAGTGACATCACCTTCCTAAGTGTATATATAAATGTGCTACAGTGGTTGAGCTGTTCCTTTTCTCCCGTCAGGAGAGAGGGCACCACCTGACCTCACCTTTCATCTCTTTATTTTCCCATCTTCTCACCATCCTTCCCTCGGGAAAATCTAGAGCTGCACTGTGTTGGGCAGGTAGCCAGGAATGATGGTGCACACCTGTAATCCCAGCACTTGGCAGGAAGATTGCTGTGAGTTTGAGGTTAGCCTGGGATACACAGTGAGACCCTGTCTCACAAAAGAAAAAAAACAAAACAAACAAAAAAAACCCCTAAGGAAAAACTAAAAACCTATGAGCTTGTTTAATGCACCAGCCCTGGGTCCATTTGTAATAACAAATATATCACAAAAACGTAAAATGTTAAGAGGAAACTGTTGTGGGGTGCTACTGGAACTCTAAAGCTGTAAAACTACCATCTATTAAATAATGACGAAATTAAGCAAAAAGTAAGTTTCAACCTGACTCAAGGGGAGGACAAGAACCAGCATGGATGTTCCCTAGACTTAGTTTATAATTCATGGTCCCCAATAGGCACTCCTTAATCCAGCAGCCTCCTGTGGGCCCAGGTCTGGAACCTGCAGCCACAGGATGCCACTGCTGAGGTGTGCAGGAGGAAGAAGTCTCACAGGCTGGTGTGCAGCAAGCTCTAGCACCTACACTTGGAAGTCCGGCCTCAATCTGTTACTTCAGCCTTCTCAATGCTTCTGTGAGCTTTCTGTGTTCTTTACTAACTCCCTCCTTTCCCAAAGTATCCAGAGTAAATCTTACCCATGTAACTAAGAACCCGCAAGTCTAGGGGTACACATGAGGACCCTGAGGCTTAGAACAGTGATCCACACAGGGCAGTCCCAGTCTACACAGCATGGCCCAGCATCTCCACTGACTGTTCGAGCCTGTGAAGACCCCATGCAGGATGTACATGGTGCTTCCAAATACTTTGCAAGTGCAGTCATTTACCTGGAGATGTGGAGTGGACAGGTCAGGAGGCGTGAAGAAGAGCTGGTTGACGCCTGCCGCATCTGGAGTGGCGAAGAAAACCTTGCCTGGAGTGGAGTCCTGCTGGGCCAGGATGACCTTGCCAGGAGTGGAGCCCTCATGGTTCGTCAGGATGAATTGCTTGCCCTGGGTGTTAGGATCAAGCGCTGTCACAATCTGGATTTTCTGCGTAGTCTGCTGCTCTGTAACAATCTGACACAAGCATGTCAAATTCATAAGCAATGGGACAAAATCCTCCAATGTCAGCTACAATAATACCATTCTCTCTGATATTTAGACAAAACTTGAAAAGTCACCATTCTATACTTTTCCAACTTGTAATTCTACTTTTGTGACATTATAGCTTATAGCAATGGACAAAAGTGGAAACAAAGGTGCATGAAGATCATCATCAGCCATCACGCTGTTGCTCCTTCCTCCCCGCTGGCCCTCTACTTGCAGCCCCAGGTGCAAGGCCAGCTGTGCAAAGCAGAGGCCCTTCAAGCACCGTGCAGTGGGGACAGCTGTAAGTATCTGCAGTGGGTATTCTTAGGGGTAGCAAAGTAAAAAGGAAGCAGGCAAGGCAAGAAGTGCGAGGTACTGCAGGCAGGAGAGCTAGAGTGATGCTTTCAGAAGAGCTGACATTTCTGTACAAACTGGGGGGACAGAGCCAGGCCTGAGGAAAGAGCACCTGTGACCTGTGGCGGAAGCAGGCAGGAGGCACCTTCTGACACAGCACAAGAGTGGCGACAGGGACAGACTGAGACTCACAGACTAGGACTCGGATGTAGTACAGGATGGAACCTGACCAGCAGCTGGGCAGACTGCGCCGAGTTCCACAGACCACACAAGTCACCTAACCCACTGTGTGCACGCAGAACTTGCAGCAGAGGCGTGGCAAGAGCTTCCACTTTAGGAAAGAGTCAGACTAATACAAATGGCTAATGAGTGTATATGAAAGATTGGTCAACAGCTTTAGGTCATCAGGGAAATGCAGATCAAAACTAAACTGAGATGGGCCTGTGTGGCAGCACACACTGCTAATCCCAGCACTTGGGAGGCTGAGAAAAAACAGTGCTGTGAGTTTGAGTGCAGCCTGGGTTACAAAGTGAGCCCAAGGCCAGCCTGAACTGCATAGTGAGATTCTGTCTCAAAAAGAAAAGAAACAACCAGAAAACAAAAACAAAAGCAAAAACACTACACTGAGATTCCAGCTCCTCTGGTCAGAATGCCTGCCATCTAGAACACAAAAAATAGGGCTGGGGATATAGCTCAGCAGCATAAGCACCTGCCTAGCCGCACACACCTATCATCCTAGCACTTGGAAGGCCGTAAAGTCTGAGGCCAGGCTAGGTTATGAAGTGAGTTCAAGGCCAGCCCATACTACACAGTGAAACATTGGCAAAATGGGGGGGGGGGGGGAGAATCACTCTAAAATCACTCTAGACTTAGTGTAAAAAACAGAATTTAAACATTCAAGTACAGAATTAAATCCTAACATTTGGGAGCCTGAGACAGGAGGATCCCAAATTCAAGGACTGTCTAGACTACAAAAATCAACACCGTGGCAGCCGGGGACTTAGCTTATCAGCACAAGCCCTGCCTGGTAAGTGTAAGGTCATGAGTTCAACCGCCAGTACAAAAAAAAGTCAGGACTGTTGTTTTCACAACCCAAAACAAAACAAGTCAGGTGTGGTGGTGCATGCCTGTGATCCCAGCACTAAGGGAAGATGAGACAGGAGGATTGAATATTGGAGTCTCAGAATTGAAAGATCAGAAGGGATACTGCTATAGCTATAGTCAACATACAATACAGGATATAAGTCACAGCTACACTGCTAGTGGATGTGGAATCCACTGCACTGGGTTTGAGGTTTGGGGAGGTGAGAGGAGACCCAATAAGCTGCTGGCTGGAGGTTGGGTGCCCTGCCTGTGCAACCAGAGCCAGAGCTGCCAGCTCACCATCCAGAAGGCAGTTTCCAACACTGGAGTTCTTCCCAGCCAGGTGCTGCAGGGCACTCTGGTAATCCCAGCACTTAAGACGGCTGAGGCAGGAGGAACCCACGAAGGCCAGCCTGCACAACTTGGTGTGATCCCATCTCAAAAAAAAAGGTTAGGGATGCCCCCTGGGTTCAATCCCCAGTACCTGAGGCAGAGGGACAAACACAGAGAAAGACAGGATTTTTGTGTGTGTTTTTGCAATTTTCAAATGGCAAAGTTGGTTTCCATTTTTATTTTTATGTATTTTTTTAATTTTGTATTTTATATAGGAAAGATAGCCATTTCCTAAGGTCACTCATGTTATCTCCTTCTCAGGGCTACTGACAGTGAAGGTATTCTATCTAAAGAGCCAAATACTACCAGGACTGGAAATCTCCTCAGTATCCCTATTTTTGGGGGGTGGGGGTACCAGGGATTGAACTCATGACCTCCCACTTGCCAGGCAGGCGCTTATGCCACTGAGCTAAATCCCCAGCTACAGTATCCCTATTTTATAGGTTTTCAAAAAAAGCTTTACTTAGATGGAAGGAACAAAAAGTATGGGAAGAAGAAGCAACAAGAAAGGGTCCTCAGTCCCCAATCCTGAGAACACTGATCCAGGAAAGGTGAAGGCAAAGGAGAATGAGGAAAGAAAACATGCAATATAAGACACGGCACCAACAGACATAAAGTGATACCTCCGGAGCCTCATAGATGAGTTCAAAAGCGAAGTATTTAACAAAATAAAGCAAGACCTAAGTAGAATAGTTAGAGAAATGCTAAGCACCACCCAAAAAAAAACAGATGGTGGAGTAAAAGAACAGGAAAAAAGGGAAGAATTGTTTGATGAAGAAAATAGAGAAAACATAGAATATGTGAAGCAGGTTCAAAGAGATTACCAGGAAACAAAAAACTCTTATCAAAAGCTGGCATAACAGCTTGAAAGAAACTAAGGATAGATTATCTGAACAGGAAGGCAGATTTGTAATGTGGGAGAATGAAATGAAAAACTTCTTAAAAATAACAAGAAAACAAACAGCAATAATACAAAGGCTTGAAGATGATAAGAGGATCTATAACTTAAGAATTAAGAACATAAAAGAAGTAGGGACACAAACAAATGGACTACAAAAACTATTCACAGAAATAATCCAAGAGAATTTCCCTAATTTAGCAAAAGGTAAAGATACTCAGATATATGAGGCATACAGGACCCCAGCCACCTACAACCCAAACAGAGCTACACCCAGGCATATAATAATAAAAATTCCAGAAATTCAATATAAGAACAGAATATTAAAAGCTGTAAGAGACAAGAAACAGATCACTTACAAGAGAACACCCATCAGAATTACAGCAGACTTCTCTGCACAAACCATCAAATTACGAAGAGCATGGGGGGAAATAATTCAAGCTTTGAAAGATAATAACCTCCAGCCAAGATTGATATATCCTGCACAACTGTCCCTAGAAATTGATGGAAAAACAAGGTGCTTCCAGGATAAAGAGGAACTAGGGGAATTTGCAACCACTAATTCAACTCTATAGACAATACTGCAGGATATTCTAAAAAAGGAAAATACAAAGATCCCAGAAACAGTGGCAGAGAGGCCACAATGAATGGAGCAGAGGGCGAAATAAAGAAGACAAACTGATAACAAACGACAGAAAAAGATCTCAACAGAAATGAGGCAGAGAAGATTGGTTAGTAGGAACAGCTATTTTGGAGAAAACAAGATATCATAATAGCTAGTGCTGATTTAATATCATCTTGCTTTGAAGTCCCATAAGCTTTTATTCTTTTGTCTCCATTGGTCTTAACAGGTTGTATCTTACTGGATTTTATTATTTGTGAATAATAAGCAAATTATTTGTGAATATAAGCAAAAACTTTTATAGACAAGGAGATTATACAAAAACCATTGTTCATTTTCTGATAGCTGGTTCTAAATACCCTGTAATACTGTCATTCTCTTGAATGGTTTTACATTGTCTTGATATGTTTGATGCTACAGTATACGAAGTTATACTCAAAGATTTCAAGGAAAGAGACACTATGGTAACTACTTTTATGTCAGGGTATCTTGTGGCAAAACGCTATTTTGCTTAAATGGTTATGCTTTGACCTGCACTGCTTTGTTGTTATGCCCTCTTTTATCTCAATCTCCTTTTTTAAATTATTTACTTTTTATTTTTATCTTTTTAATTAAGGGAAAAATAAAAAACAGCAGGATACATTATAGTAACCCACTTTGATTTCCTATTAACTTGATTTGAAATCCTGTATTGCCCTCACCATCTTGTTTTGACTGATTTTCCTCTATTCTGTTTTGCTTGATAGTACCAAGTTCGAAAGTATAGGCAACAACGGTGAAGACAAATAAGATTCATTATGACACCCATCCCGGTTGACTATTATCTTCTTTTAAAGTCCTGTAATGTCTCCAATGTTTTGGTTTTATTCTTTACTGTTTTATTCAATTTTATTATAACTGATAATATAGGCAATTCTTTTTAAGATAGCAAGAGGCAGTATGGTAACCATTGTTGATCACCTAGTATTTTGTTTTTAAATATGTATTATGCCCATCCTTTTGATTTGACTGACTCTGTTCTGTTATGTCACATTTGGTTTTACTCTCTTCAAAAAAAAAGTAGTAAGAACTGTGGGAGTAATAAAACCCAAAATGTGTAATTGTCATTGTACAAAAGAGAGGAAAAGAAAGTGCTCTAAAGGATATAACTGCATGTATATTTAAGTGTATAAGATAGATTACCATATTACTGAGTTTTGTTGGATCGAGCAAAACTGTTTGCAGTCTCACTGATTGAAACTCCACTTTATATGCTTTAATTTTGTAACTTGAACAACTATTTCTAAGATAACAATATGTAATCTATTAATTAGTGATTCCCTACTGTTTATTCTTTCTGAAATTCTGTATAACTTGTACCCTTTTTTTTTCTTTTTCTCCTTAAATAGAATTTTAAAAAAAAGGAAAAAAAAGCTTTACTTAATTTTAAAGAGAAAAAAATAAAATTTCAAAACAAGATAATAGGAGAATAACAATAGTAAATATATTGCATATTGTTATCTTCGAAGTAGTTACTCAAGAGTATAAGACAGTGGCATGAAAGAGTGCCCAAACAATATTAGTATAAAACTTTCTTTTCCATTAACTAAGAGAAACTAGTATTACAGTTATCTTATTTTGTGTATATATTTTTTCCCT